CTGAGCCGAAGGCAGCTGCTTAACCAACTGAGCCACCCAGGCGTCCCTCTTAACTACCATCTTAACTACCAAATCTAACTCTACCTTTTCAGTCCTGAATTCCCTTGGCCTCACTTTAGCATTTAATCCTGGGGGAAGTCTGTCCTGGTTTGGATTTCTCTGTGGCCCGGGCTTCTCTGACTTCACACTATCCTGGTTCCCTTCTTGATGACTAATGTTTCCTTTGTTGACCCCTCTTTTTCTTTCCATTCCACGAGGGAATTCCTTATGGTTCTGTCCTCAGTCCCCTGCTTCTTTGTGGCCCCTCCCCAGCCTCAGGGTAGAGAGAAGTGCACGGTTACGAGGCAGGTTTAGGAGGTCAAATAGGCGGGATTTCATGATTAGTTAGATGTGGGGAGTGACAGAGCAGCGGCAGCTGAGGACGATGGGTCTTCAGCAGTTGGATAAACACAGTGAGAGGGTGGACCGTTCACTGAGATTTGGAACCCAAGTGGAAGAACTAGTGGAAGTGGAGGTGGGTGATGGAGGACAATTAGGTTTTGACATTTTGAGTTTGAGGTACCTATGGGACTACCCAATAGGCAGATGGAAACTCTAGAGGGGGATCTGGGCTAGGTAGGTATACAGCCTGATCTTTCCCAGGCCTTGTTCTCTTTGCCTGTCAGTGGGATGTTGGAAACTATCTCACAGTGTTGAAGTAGTGATTAAATAAGATCATTCAACAGAGAGTTACTGAGTGTAAGTTTTTTTTTTCCTAGACACTAAGGATATAATAGTGAATAAAACAGACAAAAATAATCCCTGCTTTCTTGGAGCTTACATTCTAGCATGAGAAAACACATTACAAACAAAATAAGTAAGTAAATTACATACTATATTAGAAGGTGATAGATAGCATGGAAAAATAGAGAAGGGGAGACGGGGAATGGTAGGAGGGCTGAATTTTGGATAGGGTGGCCAGAGAAGGCCAGAGAAGGCCCTACTGAGATGACAACATTTGACAAAGACCCGGGGGTGGTTTTAAAAGGATCATCTGGTGCTGTAGGCGTCAAGGCTTCAGCTAGGCAGAGGGAGTGTTGAGAACAGACTGTGGAGTGGGCAAGTCATGGGGGTGGGAGTCAAAAGGTGCAATCAGGGAGACCAGTTAGGAGACAGTAATCCAGGAAAAAGCTAATGCATGTAATGTGCACACTCACAACTCTGCACGTAACGCTCAAAAAATGCTGTCGTCAACCACGGGAATACCTATCAAATTCTACCATATCTAGCTCGAGACTGGCTTTCTTGGAAACTAAATGAATGACCTTTGCCACTCACTGGACAGTAATTATGTGATATACTTTGTGTCTTTCACTTTTGTATATTTCATAAGTATTTTTTTTTTAAGATTTTATTTATTTATTTGCCAGAGAGAGAGAGAGCACAAACAGAGGAAATGACAGGCAGCGGAAGAGAAAGAAGCAGGCTCCCATTGAGCAGAGAGCCCTATGTGGGACTCGATCCCATGACCCTGGGACCATGACCTGAGCTGAAGGCAGAGGCTTAACCCTCTGAGCCGCCCAGGCGCCCCTCATAAGTATTTTATATTTACTCATGGCTTTTTCTCTCAATTTATATTTTAATTTCCTTAAATGCAAATGCTACATATTAAACACTTGATCTCCTTAGAAACCAGGTATATGAAAAGTAACAACATAATCGTCATCGTAATAAAAACACCAACATTGGCTAAGATTTCCTGAGAGGCAGTCTAGGGGGGTGGATAAGAGGATTGGTTCTGGAATCAGACTGTTGTGCTAAAATCTAGGCCCCACTGCTTCTTGGGCAAGTTACTTAACTAATTATACTGCAGGTTTTTCATCTGTAAAATGAGGGTAATAGTGCCCATTATGGAGGTGAGGATTAAAGCAGATAATGTATTTGTTCTAGGACTATGCTAGCTATTTCTGCATAATAATAATATTTACTGAGCTCAAGGAATATTTATTGGGCCACTTCACCTGTATTATCACATATCCCCACAACTGCCCTATAAAGTAGGTCTTATTATTATTTCAAGGTAGGTATTAATATTGTTGTTCCCATTTTTTGGCCCCATTTTGTAGGTGAGGAAACCAAGGCTGAGAAGTTAAGCAGTGTGTCAAATTTGTGTACCAACAGCAGGCATTTAATAAATGCCTTTGAAATGGAATGAAGAACAGAATTTTGTGTACCCGCTGGTTCCACATCTGACAAATATAGGATAGCACAGAGAGATTATCCACTGAGGATTCTGAAAACATTCTGTATTTTTAAGTCTAAAAGGGGAAGCAGAATGCTTTGAAAGAAGATGAGCCAAGGATATTCACATTATCCTTGAATAATAGCAATTATACTGAATAATAGCAATATTCAATATCTATAATGCAATGATATAAATAGTTTGAGGAAATTTATCTTTCGTGGTATTTGCTGGAATAAAGCACGTTTGGGTGTGAGAATGTTTCTTCATCCTCTAGTCTCAAGTCCAGTTTGGGCTCAGCTCCAGTCCACGGCTGCTTTGGGAGGTCTAAAATTGCCCTACGTCATCACAGAGTCAAAAGATCTCTTGGGAGCCCCTGGCAGTTCCAGCATGAATGGGAGTGTCTTCCAAACTAGATTTCCAAGCCCACCCAAAGTCATCCCTGGAAAAGTCTTACTCTTCTGGAATTCTCTAGCCTAGGGTAAGAGTGTGAACTTTCTTGGCTATCTTAGGCCCTCAGTGGGCCCTGAGATAGTCTGAGGTCAATCTCGCAATTTCAGAGTTAGCACAGTTGGGATGAAGGAATAAGGTCCCATGGGGCATGTAAGCTTTGCCACAGACCCTTCCTCCTTTGTTTTGGAGCAGACCCTGTGGAGTAGGATGTTAAGGTGACTGCCTTGTAAATATCCTCATAAGTGCTGCTGAGGAGGCCGATTTTACCCTTCTTTGCCACTTACCTTACTATTTCCATTATAGCCCTTCTGGGTAAAGCTGAAGTGTCTACAAGCTTTGATAGGATTTCAAACAACAGGATCCCTGGGTTGCCGGCTAAATCTAAACATTTCTCCTTTTCTGGAACTATAAGGGGAAAAAAAAATTCAAAGTGGCTTCTGAAAAAAAATCTGTCAAAAAAAGTCATAAGCTGACAGTCTTTTTAGTCTATTTACAATATTAATACCGAGCCAGGTACTAGAGAATTATAGAAAAACATTCAAAGTTTGTTCTATTGGGTAGAAAGGTCATTTTGATTACTGAACAGACACAATAATCATTAAAAAATGCTTTTAGTGCTATGACTTCTAAGTAAATATTGACTTGTAAGTTAATACATTTAATATAAACATGATTTATGTATTAAGGACTATTGTCCTGTTCTTCTGGGTAAAGGAATTGCTGATAAACGAGCCTCAGGCTTGCAGGCAAACCCTCGTTACTACAATAGTACTTGAAGCAGTAGCTTCCGTCTCTTCTAAAGACAGTTTACAGCCTATGAACGAATGTGTTTTCGAAAGCATACACAGTATTTGGAATTTGGAATTTATTTACCCCAGAAAATATGATACAAATTGCGGTTAGTTTTTCCAAGGTAGACTGTTAAACTCCTAAAAAAAACATCAGAGGGGGTGCCTGGGTGGCTCAGTGGGTTAAAGCCTCTGCCTTCGGCTCCGGTCATGATCCCGGGGTCCTGGGATCGAGCCCCGAGTCGGGCTCTCTGCTCAGCGGGGGGCCTGCTTCCCTTCCTCTCTCTGCCTGCCTCTCTGCCTACCTGTGATCTCTGTCTGTCAAATAAATAAATAATAAAATCCTAAAAAAAAAAAACCATCAGAGGACCAATAACAGCATGCCAGGGATACATCTACATCACTTATGACCTTGTGTTAGATCACGCTCTCTAGCCTCCAGCCGACTCTCCTGTTGTCACACTGAAGACAGACTTCCTCAGGGTGAGGAAGATATTTTTTAGGAATGGTGAATTATCGATGCCCCAAATTTTCAGGAGAGAGAACATTTTTCTTTTTCTAAAATTTTTTTTTTTCATATGTAAAGGGAGTACCTCCCAGAGTAGCCCATGCACTGGGTGAGGAACATTATAAGAGGGGACCGAATTTTTCTACACTATTCCATGTGTTCTGCATTGGAGACCAAAAAGCAGTGTCTCCTGCAGAAGGACTTGATGTATTTAAGTTAAAATTATAAAATTGTATCAATTTGCTTAGCAAATATTGTTTTGGAGTTCCTGCCAGTGTACACCTCCCTCACTTGTCCCTGCTCGGAGGCCTAGAGGAATAGTGGTTACTACTGTGCGGCGAATCGCAGCCACACAAGGGCCACGTTCAGCAATATCTCTACTCACCCACAGCTTTCAGGAAGCGGTTCGTATCTGTTAGGACTTTTATGAAATCTGAGAAATTCACCTTCCCGTCTTCTGCAACAGAAATCAAAGGCTCAGAACAAGGATATCAGATGCGTTTTAGTCAACAGATTATATACTAAATAGAAAATGAAAACACACGGCACTGTCCAATACTTAAAGTCAGACCGCACGTTAAGGCTACAGATGTGCTCAGGAAAGCACTGGTCTTCTTGAAGTGGTTTTGGCACCGTTAGGTGAGTCACCCACAGCTGCCAGAAGCAATCGTGGGGTACAAACACCAAACTAGGGGCCCCCAGCCCCAGGAGTCCTATTCACTCACACCTTTTTGAGAGACTTGCCATTTTTGCAAGGAATCCACTCCTGCTTTCCCAATCCCTTCTAACCTCTGATATTTCTATTATTCTAAAACCCCCAAATTGTACCCAGTCTCCTCTAACTAGAATAGTACTATTAGAGGCAGGTGTGCATGTTTTGAGGCAAGGACAGGAAAATTGGGCAGAGTTCGTGGCAACAAGTGACTCCTTAATTAACTGGTGACACTGATTCACACATGGAACTTATGCTAATTAAATGGGGCACTGGCAGTTGGGTGGGGAGAGGTGAAGAGGAAATAATTTGCTGACTATATATTCCATATCAGCTTGGGTTATAATCATACATATCAGCGCAGGTTATAATCACTAGGTCCGTATATTCAAAGGAAATAATATCTAAAATTTTAAAAAATATCAACATAAATGCTGTGGCATTTAAAATTCAATATAGGTGGGCTCCATGGATCAAAGGAAGATTTGTACTAACGTGATTCAAATGGAAACAAAGGGCTTGGATTTTCTTGGTAACGTGTCATTTTTTGAAACTGTCAATGCCTTTGTATCTGTTATTTCAAGGCACCCTCCAAAGTGTACATCACGATAGGTAATCTGAATTTAATGTTGAAATGCGATAATCATTTTTAGTTTCCACATAGGATTTTTCAAAGAATAGTCTACTTGGTAGCATTAGATTTTTTTTGCATTAATTTGATTTTGTAACTTGTACACATACCATACTGATATCTTTAAAGAGGAATGCATATATGTACTTTTGATAATGAAGTTTTTCTTCTGTTTTTATAATCATTGAAAGAAAAATATGTATTTGTAAAAAGCTTTTATGAGAAAAATAATTACAAGCTAAAGTACTCACGATCAATATCAGCACATCTTAATTCATTATAGACATCCCGCTTGGTTAGATTCATTCCCAGCTTAGCTAAAGTGCACATCATTCCATGTAAATCAATACAGCCAGTTTTATCCTTGTTAAAGAAGTTGTAGGCATCTTGGAAGGCTGAGGAAATGTAATTAAGTCAGTTGGGCAGTTATTCAAGAATAAGTACATATTCTAATGGAACTAGGACTGACTATATAGTTGACTGGACATCATGTTCTGAAAAGGTATTGAGAGAAAAATGAGTACTTAATAGACATTTCATATAAGGGACAGTGTCCTTCCATGAGATTTGATTTGGAATAAACTACTTGGTTGAAAACAAAATACATTGGTAAAATGGTCTTTGAAAGCTATCCACACCTTAATTCCTGGAATCTGTGAATGTATTACTTCCATGACAAATGGGACTTTGCTGATATAATTAAGATAAATTACCCTGGATTTCTGAGTGGGCCCAATCTAATCACAGGGTCCTCTGGGCTGAAGCAAGAGAGCTGTGGCAGGAGGAGAGATCAGAGAGATTCAAAGCATGACAAGGACTCTGTTGTTGGTTTGAAGATGGAAGGGACAATGTGACATGGGACACAGATAGCCATCAGGGGCTGAGAGAGGCTCCTGGCTGGCAGCTAGTAAGGAAGTGGGACTTCAGCCCTAGAACCACAAGGAATTAGGTTCCATCAAGACCCTGAATAAGCTTGGAAGCAGATTTTCCTTCAGAGTCTCTGTTTTTTTCAAAGACTTTATTTATTTGTCAGAGAAGAGAGAGAAAGTAAGAGAGAGAGAGAGAGAGAGAAAGCGCACAAGCAGGGGGAGGGGCAGGCAGAGGGAAAAGCAGGCTCCCAGTTGAGCAAGAAGCTCAATGTAGGACTCAATCCCAGGACTCTGGGAATATGATCTAAGCTGAAGGCAGATGCTTAACCAACTGAGCCACCCAAGCATCCCCCTTCAGAGCCTCTTGATAAGAGAAGCCAGGCTGGCCAGTTCCTTCAATTTGACCTTGGAAGTCTGGGAGAAGAAGAACTAGTCAAGCCCACCTGGAATTCCAGTCCACAGAACTGGGAGATAATAAATTTGTGTTGTTTTAAGCTGCTAAGTGTGTGGCAATTTGTTATGGCAGCAACAGAAAACTGATGCACTACAATGGACCCAAATTATATGCAGGTGAATGTTTTGAATAGACTCAATGTTTTTTTCTAAGACATATGCAGGGTATTAACTGGAGCTCAAATTAGACCTGTATTTTCTTTTCTTTTTTAAAAGATTTTATTTATTTTTATTTGACAGAGATCACAAGTAGATAGAGAGGTAGGCAGAGAGAGAGTTGCGGGGGGGGGGGGAAGCAGACTCCCTGCTGAGCAGAGAGCCTGATATGGGGCTCGATCCCAGGACCCCAAGATCATGACCTGAGCTGAAGGCAGCCCGATGCGGGGCTCGATCCCAGGACCCCAAGATCACGACCTGAGCCAAAGGTAGCCACTTAACTGAGCCACCCAGGGGCCCCTTAAATTTTGTTTTAGATTGGTTTTGGATATAGTTGCAAAGATAGCCCAGAGAATTTGCAGGTCCCTCATTCAGTTTCCCCTAATGTTAGCACCTTACATTACTGTGGTACATTTACTGCATTTAAGAAGCCAACATTGCTGTAGTGCTCTTAACTAAACTGTAGACATTGATCAGGTTTCATCAGTTTTTCCCTAAGGCCCTTTTGCTCTTCCAGGATTCCATCCAGGATGCCATATTACTTTAATTGTCACATTCTTTAGCCTCTTTTCTGTAACAGTTTCTCAGACTTTTCTTGTTTTGGGTGACCTTAACAGTTTTGAGGAATATTATTCAGGTATTTTGTGGAAGTCCTTCAATTTGGGGTTTTCTCATGTTTTTTCTCATGGTTAGCCTAAGATGATTGATTTTTGGAAAGAAGGTGACCAAAGTGAAGTACCACTCTCATCATCATATCAAGGCTACGTATTGCCAAAGTGACTTATCACCGATGATGTTTATTTTGATTACCTGGCTGAGGGAGTGTTTGTCAGGGTTTTCCACTGTAAAGTAACTTCCCTCCTTTCCATATTTTACTCTTTGGAAGCAAGTCACTAAGGGAAGTCCAGACTCAAGGGACAGAGGGCTGGGGACATGGGGATTTACGTTCCACCTCCTGGAGGAGGTAATATCTCCATGCATTATTTGGAATTTTCTTGTAAGAGAGATTTTTCTCTTCTTCATTAAAAAATTCAGTCATTTATTTCTGTCAGTATGGACTTGCAGGTATTTATTTTGTACTTTGAGTTATAACCCAATACTATCTTATTTATTGTATTTTTGTTGCCCAAATTGCTCCAGCTTTCACCATTGTGAACGCGTTGAGGTTGGCTTCTGCATCCCTTTGAAAGGCTCCTGTGTCCTATTGTTTTTTGAGCACTCCCTTTCTTTCTGTCACTATAAGATGTCCCAGGTTTGTCTTGTTATCCCTGCGTGGGCCCTAGAAGTGGCCGTTTATCCAAGCAACTCTGCTTCTTTCACAGGAGGCTGGCGTTAGAAGTCCAGTTCTGGCGTCTGGGTCTGCGTGCTGCTGCGGGGGTGTCACAGCTTCTAAGTCCTCTCAGCAGACAGAGCTAGGAAGTATGTGCGTGAATACTAACGCACGTATACACACACGCATTTACTTCTTGATCCATCCATCGGTATCCATATGAAGTTAAACCTGAGTTCACATGAGCTCACAGTAATGTCTCAGATGTAAGCCAGTACCAGTGGTTCACTTTGGCCTTCTCCCCTTGTTTATCTGTAACTGCCAACTCCAGCAGTGGGAAACTTGGTTCCCAGCATCCGCCATCCATCTACTGAGTTATTCATCCTAGTAGACATGTACAACAGCTTCAGAATTGTTATGCTGTCCTCCTAATGAGAAACAACTGTACTGGCTAGAGTACGTGGTTTATGTATAGATCCTTTGGTGTTCGGCCTTAAGAGTTTTTGGTCAAAACACCATTTTTGAAGTTCCTGAGGTCAGCTCCTTCCCTTACTCCCACACGACTCATGACTTAACAAGATCACTCTGGCTTTTGTTAGAAAAACAGACTTTTGTAAGGGTTTGGGTAGAAGAATGGAGATTAATGTCGGGGGCTGTTGTGGGTGAGCAGCAATGTGCCTCAGACCACGATTGTAGCACAGGTGGTAGGAATTGGCTGCTTCTAGATATATGTTAAAGGTAGAGCCAATGAGATTTCCTGATGGATTGACAGGTAGGTTGAGTCAGAAGAGTCAAGGATGTCTCCAAGATTTCTTCCAGAGCAGCGAAAGGAGATGCTGAAGGCTGTGGGTAGAGCATGTTTTAAGAGTAAGAGGACGTGGGGAAGAGCACTGTTTAGTGGGTATGGCGGTTCAATTTGGGAAGATGAAAATGTCTGGAGGTGGATGTGGTGATGGCTGTAGAACTTGTGAATATATTTAATGCACTGACCTGTACATATATACTTGAAAATGGTTAAAATTGTATTTTTTAAAAAATATTTTATTTATTTATTTGAGAGAGACAGAGAGAGAGCATGAGCACGGAGAGAGGTAGGCAAAGGGAGAAGCAGATTTCCTGGTGAGCAGGGAGCCTGATGTGGGACTTGATCTCAGGACCCTGGGATGATGACCTGAGCCGAAGGCAGATGCTTAACTGACTGAGCCACTCAGGTGCCCCCAAATTGTAACTTTTATGGTATATGTATTTTATCACAATAAAATGAGTATGAGGAGCCCATCAGGAGTTCCATTTTGGACATGTTGATTTTGGGTGTCTATTAGACATACAATTGGAGGTGTCGAGGAGGCAATCAGATATGAGCTTGGAGCTGGGGAGAAAGGCGTGGGCTAGACATATACATTTGAGATTTGTTAGCATATGGTGTTTAAAACCTGTTCCTTCCTCAGAAACCACAGGAAAGGCTCTTGCCCACTTCCCCCTACTTGCCTCCTGACTGACTATGGTGCTGTGTGGCCCTTCCTGCTGTCCTTTGCCTCTTATTTCTAGAGATCTATGAACATAAAATACTTCTTCTTCTTTGACAGTCATTTCTGTGTCTGTATGTCTGATAATACCTGATTAAAATAGATCCTGGGTCGGGGGGTGCCGGGGTAGCTTGGTGGGTTCAGCGTCTGACTCTTGGTTTTGGTTCAAGTCTCAGGGTGGTGGGATTGAGCCCTGTGTCAGTCTCTGTGCTCAGCATGGAGTCTGCTTGAGACTCTCTCCCTCTGAGTACCCCCGCTCTCCCTCTTAAATAAAATAAATATAATCCTAAAAAAAATAGATCCTGGGAACCCTTAATACAAGCACCAATGGGGGCGCCTGGGTGGCTCAGTGGGTTAAGCCTCTGCCTTCGGCTCAGGTCATGATTTCAGGGTCCTGGGATCCAGGCCCGCGTTGGACTCTCTGCTCAGCAGGGAGCCTGCTTCCCCCTCTCTCTCTGCCTGCTTCTCTGCCTACTTGTGATCTCTCTCTCTGTCAAATAAATAAATAAAATAAAAGTCTTAAAAAAATACAAGCACTAATGTATATGAATGTACGTTAGGAACCTTACAATTTTAGAAGGCTGAAACTTATTATTAAGGCACTTAGCTCAGTTTAACAATGAAAAATGTAATTCTGATTTTGACTATCTTTTGTGTTTTTCAAGCCAGCTTTCTCAACAATATAGGTGATCCTTAAATTTCTGTTTTGTTTTCAGGTGGTTCCAAACTTGGAGGGGTGATGCGCTAGCCTTCCAGAACCCAAACACAGCCATGCTTGACTTTCTCTCTCTTTCTTTCTTTTCTTTATTTCTTTCTTCCCTTTTTTTTCTGTTTCTTTTTTCCAGGGAGTCATGTTTTCCCTTTCCTTTGGGCCTTTGCAGATTCCACTCTTTCTGCCCAGAACACTTCTTTTGCACTATTTGCCTCCTACTTATTATCCCACCTTCTCTGGGACTCCCCTCTTACTCTCCCAAGACCAAGTCAGGTCTTTCTTTTATGCTCCTGAAATACTTTATACTTCCCCATCATAACTTGTGTTATACTGTGATTTAAAAGTTTCAGTCAAAAATTCTTGGTTTAATGGCCTGACTTCCCTGAAGGATTCCTTATCAGGGCAGTGACCATGTCTGACTTGTTACTTGTTATGTTTCCCATGCTTGGTATACTGTGGGCTTTAAATAAACATTTGCTGTTTGGACTAATAAACTACAGTCAGTATAGCTATTTATACTGCCCCATTATTTGATTTCTATTTGACTTTGCATTTGTTCTTTCGTATGCTTGCGAGTTCTTATGTGAATAAAAATATTTGACCAGGATTATCCAAATTCTAGGAAGATGTCTGTTTGAAAGTCGTCCCTCTTCCTTCTCACAAATTAGACATTGAATTAGAACTTTTGCTCTCAAAAAGCAAAAGTTGTACAGATAACTCTTGAAACTGCAGATCTCTCTTAGAGAAGAAAATGGTCAGATTTATCAAGGGGCATTAGTCGATGCTTCCGTCTGAGGGATTATTGCCATTACCTTGCATTTGTGAAGCATTCAGCTTCTTTTCTTTGCTTTGGCAGGGAAGGGATCCTGGTAAATCTTTATCCCTGAGCAAAAGACATGAAAAGATTCAATACATACATGAAACCCACAAGTATTAGTTCTATTCATCAGCTTTTGCTGAATGGAATGACTGTACACGTCACAATATATCCAGAGTCTCACCTCCTAAGGGACCTGTTACTGTCACCTGTCAATAGTTATAGGAGGGACAGTGAGGAAATGCTGGCCAGTGAGGTCCACATCTGCCCTATACCTGTCCATTGCTCCTAAAATATCTGATTTTCCCCATTTTACAAAAGAGGAAACTGAATCTCAGAGGGATTAAATAACTTGTCCCAAATTGCACAGGTAACAGGTGAAAGTCATGGGATTCAAACTCAGGTTTATCTGACTCCGAAGCGCAAGGACATAAGCCCTACACTATTCCTATTGCTAGAAATAGAAGTTGTTTCAAATTTTTCAGTGGTATAAATACTCTTACAGTGAATATCCTGAAAGCTTTGTAATGATATTTATCTTATGACTTTAACTGCTAAACTATATTTTTACCAGCATATTAGATAGAGGTAGATATATCTACAACTACATCTATAACTTATATAGCATCTATATATGTATCAACTATCTATCATCTGCCTGTCTATCTATTTATCTGTCATCTGAGACAGAGAGCACTTCTGGAAAGTCTGGAGCCCTGGGTGACTTTTCACTTTCTCAGAAAAAATCTGGAAAAAGAGAAAAGCGTATTAATACTTTGGGTATAATTTGTACAGATCTGCAGGAGGTTATTAGTTTAGGAACATAAAAATATATTATGCAAAACTGAGTTTGCTTATAATATGGTCATTTACAAGTAGACTTAAGTAATCATGATTTTAGAAATTAATTAAAAAATATTTAGCTTTGGTACTAAACTGAAAATTTTAACATGGAATCTCTGAGTTTTTGTTTTTACAAGAAGCAGTTAAAAAAGTAAAGCAGGAAGAAATACTAAATATGGTGCACTTAAAAAGTTATGGTTTATGAATTTAGTATCCTCTAGAGTATCTAGTAGGTTCAACTCATTTTCAAAGATGGACCTAGTAAAATGGAGGTGATAAGGTCTCAAAATGCACCATTCCTTTTCGACATAGAATTTTACCTAATTAGTCTTATTTTCTCTGCTTTTACTAACACTGATTTCTTCTTCTGATGTTTCTGTTCTAATCACCTATCTGAACTTCTGAAAACTCAAGTTGGCCCTTGCTCAGATACATTATTTTATATTTGCTGTATGTCTAAATATAAACAAATTTCTTTTGCATGATATAAAAGTTGCAGTAGATGGAGAAATATGGAGTTCTGAAGAAGCAAGAGGAAAGTAGCAGGCCAGGCAGTATGAAGTCTTTATTAGCTACATTAAAAAAAAGGATACTCTTGGCAGAATTTCAAATCATATCTTGGCTCACACAATCTTTCTATTTTATAATGTTTCAAAGGTTTGAAATACCTTAGATTTGGAATGAGCTCAGTCTAGCCTCTCATCTCATGTAGGAATTCCCTCTATGTGTGGTATTGTCAAGTCTTTGCTTGACTATTTTCAATGACAAGGATGTCACTAGACAGACAGCTTGTAATGCAGGCTAAGGGAACAATGAGATCAAGGGATTTGGCGGCTGTAAGGTTTTCTTACCCACATCCCTCGAAAAAGGTCAGTAATCTATTCTTGTAGCAGTGGCACAGTCAAGGACTCTAGGGGAAATACTCTCAAAGTCATCCAGAAAATGGATGTTTTGAGAGAGAAGAGAGGCTTTTCTTCTTATGCTCTGATAAAATACAGATCACGATCTTATTTTCAGTCATTAGTGGCTTTGGTTTATTGGAATTTGTAGTTATCAGGCTGAGAAAAAAGCTAGTATTAGTGTCACAGACAAATCTCCCTTCTCAGTTTTAGCTCAAGGTTAGTCATGACTAACCAGATTTTGTTTTACTGGCTGTATTTGAGCTATAGACCCTTTCTCTATACTGACTTGCTTAGGAGATTAGGTCTTCGTCCTGATCCTCTAACTTCATTCTCCTTTAAACTGGCACTCAAAATATCTTAATGTATTACTGACAACTTCTTAATCCCTCCAGGATATTCTGATCCCCTACACAAAAATTCCCTCTCAATTGGGAGAATAGGAAAAAGAACTTTTGTTTCTCCAATCTAAAAGGATACATAACCTTTTCTTTTCATAAAAAAACCCTTTATCTTCAATTCATATATTTGTTTTTTTTTTTTTTTTTTAAAGATTTTATTTATTTATTTGTCAGAGAGAGAGAGAGGGAGAGAGAGCGAGCACAGGCAGACAGAATGGCAGGCAGAGGCAGAGGGAGAAGCAGGCTCCCTGATGAGCAAGGAGCCCGATGTGGGACTCGATCCCAGGACGCTGGGATCATGACCTGAGCCGAAGGCAGCTGCTTAACCAACTGAGCCACCCAGGCGTCCCATATATTTGGTTTTATAACTAAATTTATCACAGGGTACTTGAAGAGCCTTCTAACTTGTTTACTCATAGCCCTTATGGGTATTTAAAATATTTATCACCTTAATAATTCTTCATCTTAATCTATTTGAGGCACCTATGGCTCAATCAGTTGGGTGTCTGACTCCTGATTTTGGCTCAGGTCCTGATCTCAGGGTGATGAGATCAAGCTCCGAGTTGGGCTGTATGCTCAGAGCAGAGTTAGCTTGAAATTCTCTTTCCTCTCCCTCTGCCCTTCCCCCTGCTCATGCATGCATGTTCTCTCTCTCTCTAAACTAGTAAAAGATTTTATTTATTTGTGAGAGAGAGAGAGAGAGAGAGAGAGAGATATCACAAACAGGGAGAGTGGCAGGCAGAGGGAGCAGCAGTAGGCTCCCTGCTGAACAAGGAGCTCAACCCCAGGACCTTAGGATCATTACCTGAGCTGAAGGTGGACACATAACTGACTTGACCCACTAGGCGTCCCTAAATAAGTCAAATCTGAAGCAAAAAAAAAAAAATTATTTACCTTAATCTATCACCTGAATACATTCATTACTTACCTCTTGCCACGGGAGCTGGGTACTTTAGTTAGAGGATTCAGCTGAAGTTTTGCTTTAATGTCAGAAACTGCCATGGGGCCAATAACTCTGTCTGGAATTCAGATACAAATAGGATCAGATCACAGATTAATTCTTCTATTTTCTTTTGCAAATTTCCTAGCTCAAGATCTAGAGTTTGAAGTCCAGAGCCTTGAGGAATGGTTATATGCACAAATTCAAGTTAGAGGTGTGTGCGAAGTTGGAAGGCCGTGTGGAAGGACAGCTTCACTGCCCCAAGATCTCTAAGCAAAATGTCTTATCATTACAAATTTTTGGATTATTTGCTCCAACTCTTTGAAGAATACTGGTGGAATTTTGATTGGAATGGCATTAAAAGTATAGATTGCTCTAGGCAGTATAGACATTTTAACAATGTTTATTCTTCCGATCCAAGAGCATGGAATGGTCTTCCATCTTTTTGTGTCTTCTTCAATTTCTTTCATGAGTGTTCTGTAGTTCCTCGAGTACAGATCCTTTACCTCTTTGGTTAGGTTTATTCCCAGGTATCTTATGGTTCTTGGTGCTATAGTAAATGGAATCGATTCTCTAATTTCCCTTTCTGTATTTTCATTGTTAGTGTATAAGAAAGCCACTGATTTCTGTACATTGACTTTGTATCCTGCCACGTTACTGAATTGCTGTATGAGTTCTAGTAGCTGGAGCAAATAATCCAAAAATTTGTATGGAACCAGAAGAGACCCCGAATCGCTAAGGAAATGTTGAAAAACAAAAATAAAACTGGCGGCATCACGTTACCTGATTTCAAGCTTTACTACAAAGCTGTGATCACCAAGACAGCATGGTACTGGCATAAAAACAGACACATAGACCAGTGGAACAGAGTAGAGAGCCCAGATACGGACCCTCAACTCTATGGTCAGTTAATCTTTGACAAAACAGGAAAAAATATACAGTGGAAAAAAGAGTCTCTTCAATAAGTGGTGCTGGGAAAACTGGGCAGCTATATGTAGAAGAATGAAACTCGACCATTCTCTTACACCGTACACAAAGTTAAACTCAAAATGGATAAAAGACCTCAATGTGAGACAGGAATCCATCAGAATCCTAGAGGAGAACATAGGCAGTAATCTCTTCGATATCAGCCACAGCAACTTCTTTCAAGATATGTCTCCAAAGGCAAAGGAAACAAAAGCCAAAATAAACTTTTGGGACTTCATCAAAATCAAAAGCTTCTGCACAGCAAAGGAAACAGTCAAGAAAACAAAGAGGCAACACACGGAATGAGAGAAGATATTTGCAAATGACAGTACAGACAAAAGACTGATATCCAGGATCTATAAAGAACTCCTCAAACTCAACACACACAAAACAGATAATCATATAAAAAAATGGGCAGAAGATATGAACAGACACTTCTCCAATGAAGACATACAAATGGCTATCAGACACATGAAAAAATGCTCATCATCACTAGCCATCAGGGAGATTCAAATTAAAACCACATTGAGATATCACCTTACACCAGTTAGAATGGCCAAAAGTAGCAAGACAGGAAACAACATGTGTTGGAGGAGATGTGGAGAAAGGGGAACCCTCTTACACTGTTGGTGGGAACGCAAGTTGGTGCAGCCACTTTGGAGAACAGTGTGGAGATTCCTCAAGAAATTAAAAATAGAACTTCCTTATGACCCTGCAATTGCACTACTGGGTATTTACCCCAAAGATACAGATATAGTGAAAAGAAGGGCCATATATACCCCAATGTTTATAGCAGCAATGGCCACGGTTGCCAAACTGTGGAAAGAACCAAGATGCCCTTCAACGGACGAATAGATAAGGAAGATGTGGTCCATATACTCTATGGAGTATTATGCCTCCATCAGAAAGGATGAATACCCAACTTTTGTAGCAACATGGACGGGACTGGAAGCGATTATGTTGAGTGATATAAGTCAAGCAGAGAGAGTCAATTATCATATGGTTTCACTTATTTGTGGAGCATAACAAATAGCATGGAGGACATGGGGAGTTAGAAGGCAGTTGGGGGAAATTGGAAGGGGAGGTGAACAATGAGAGACTATGGACTCTGAAAAACAATCTGAAGGGTTTGAAGAGGTGGGGGGGTGGGAGGTTGGGGGAACCAGGTGGTGGGTATTAGAGAGGGCACGGACTGCATGGAGCACTGGGTGTGGTACAAAAACAATGAATACTGTTAGGCTGAAAATAAATTAAAAAATGATTAAAAAAAATAAAGAAACAGTTGGAAGAAAAAAAAAGTCTTATCATTGTCTCCCCCCTTCAAATAATGTCATTCTGATCATATATAAAAATAAGTGATACCACGTGACATAGATAAAGCATCCTGGAAATATGTATAAAAACTTATTTAAATAACTTGAAATAAAGACAAAATTTATTTTTGAAATCAGTAGAACATTTCATGTTATAATCAACAGAGAGTAAAATGTTACAGCATCTTTAAAATATTTACCTGATTGTTTATGTCTTGGATACCTGCCTGGTAATAAATAGATTTTTCAGAATTCCCTTCTGGGAGGTCCGGCCCTGCCCTGTCAGTTCTTATGAACTCACTGTATGGGAACCCATTTGGTAGGTAGGAGCAGAGGTGGGATACAATGCCGTTTTGCCAGCCTAGACCTTTCTGGATGGACTTTTAACCACGAGAGCCTCCCTAGTCCTCCCTTTCCACTTCAGCAGTCTATGGATTAGAAGATGGGTTGGTAGGCTTCCCCCTTTTATTGTTGGTTTTACCTCTCCAATTATAATTTTCAAAGTGTAGACTGTACTAGGTGGTTCACTGACAAGAATACTGGGTTGCCAATTTAGGAATGATAGACAAATTCTATGAAACTACAAAGAAAAAGTCTTTGAATGTGTGATTACAGTTTGGTCCATTTTCCTATGTCTTCACCTCAGAGCCTGGAAAGCCAGTTGTTTCTAAACAACTCAGTTACATGCGTTCAAAATCTGGAAACCTACCACAGAGCTGGGGACTCCGGAGAGGCTCAATAACTTAGGCACTTGAAAGGTGCTGTGAAATCATCCTCAGGGCGCAAAATAATCATTACTTAAAAAAAAACAAAAACTACCTTCAATCTCTCATAGAGACAATCGGTTAAAAAAAAAAAAGGACTCAGCATCGATTCCTACAAAATCCAGATATTTGCCTACTTTTAAGCCGTGCTACCTACCACTTCTGGGCTTCAATCAGATCAAGAATCCAATAAAGGGTTTGTTCCATCATACAACTGTGACCTCATTCACTTCTCAGGCTCAGGCCCAGGTGAGAATGACCTATAAGCTCCTTCCAGCTCTAGAGCAACCATGTTTTCAATGTGGTCTATCTAGCACCCTTGGGGGATGTGTGGGTGTGAGAACATTTTGACACTGTGGGGATTTCAGGGAAGGGGAAGTTTTTTTGTTTTTGTTTTTGTTTTAATTCTGTATTAATATATTTCCATGTTAAACATTAGTGAGTTGGAAGTTGTTCAAATGAAAAATTTTACTCAAATGCCTTGATTTCATTAATTGCTTAAGCCTAGGGAGAAGGACAAAAATACCCCAAACTCTCATAGGTTTGCAGACTATAGTAGTATTGGAAAGAGTGATTTAAAAAGAGCAATTAAATAAAGATTATGATTGCTTTAATTAGAAACTTTAATATTCAAGATCTCACAGGTTTCATGGCATTGTAAATCATCTAGCATAGGAGTTAGGCATGTCCTTAGTCTTCATCATGGCCAAGCATAGATGCCTTTGACACCCAAGGTTTAGCTTGAGACCCCCAAATTGCTTCAGGTCTCACTTAGTAGTTGCAGTTCTAGTGGCTTTCTATTCCTGCTCTCAGAGTTTGTTTACTGTGAGCATAGTTTGACATTTCTCTAGTCTTTCTGAATTTGGTGCATTGCCTCCTATTCTGCTTTGGGATACAGAGGGAAAGAAAGTGGTGGTTTGATTTACAGATTGATTAAACAAGTATTTAATAAGGGCCAACTATGTTAGGGCCTACCAAGATTAAAATGGGAATAATGGCAGCTCCTATTGGATGGGATGGTTGAGAAATAAGTTAATATTTTTATTTTAATTGTTAATACTTCAAATTGTGGTAAAAAACACATAAAATTTATGATCTTAACCATTTTAAGCATACAGTTTAGTACTGTTAAGTATATTCACATTGCATGCAAACAATCTCCAGAACTTTTTTATCTTGCAAAAACAGGTCTCTAACCTTCATTAAACAATAGCTCACCATGTACCCCTTCCCTTAATCACTGGCAACCATCATTCTATTTTGTATGAATCTGACTTTAGAGATCTCATAAAACTGGAATCACACAGTATTTCTCTTTTTGTGACTGACTTATTTCACTTAGCTAATGTCCTCAATGTTCATCCATGTTAAAGCCTGTGTCGGAATTTCCTTCTTTTTTAAGCATGAATAATATTTGATTATATGTACCACATTTTATCTATCCATTTGTCTGCCAATGGACACTTGAGTTGCTTTCACCTTTTGGCTACTGCGAATAATGTTGCTATGACACACTGGTATACAAATACCTCTTTGAGACCTTGCTTTCAGTCTTTTGGATATATACCCAGAAGTGGAATTGCTGGATCATACAATAATTCTATTTTTAATTTTTTGAAGAAATGTTGTTTTCCACAGTGGCCACCATTTTACATTCCCACCAACGGTGCACAAGGGTTCTAATTTCTCCATATCCTCTTCTGTTTTTTTGATAGTAAAACAAACAAACAAAAAGTAACCACCCTATTGGGTGTGAGGTGATATATCTCATTGTGATTTAAATTTATATTTCCCTAATGATTAGTAATGTTGAGTATCTCTCTCTCTCTCTTTTTTTTAAGAGTTTATTTATTCATTTGACAGATAGAGATCACAAGTAGGCAGAGAGGCAGGCAGAGAGAGAGGAGGAAGCAGGCTCCACGCCGAGCAGGGAGCTTGATCCCAGGACCCCGGGACCATGACCTAGGCAGAAGGCAGAGGCTTTAACCCACTGAGCCACCCAGGCGCCCCAGTATCTCTCTCTTTTTAAAAAAGAT